GTGTTGTTTATGTGAGGAAGTGCTGTGTCTTTCCATGTGCTTCTGGCATTATTTCTGAGGAACATTTGTTGCTGGATTATAGCAGGGAGGACTGTCATCTGACACCCGCCCCCATTGATGCAAATAACCAAGTCCCCTGGCCAAGAACTAAAACTCTCTCTTTTTCCTTGTGTATGCATCTTTTTTCACTCCTACACAGAAGAAAAAAAAGACATAAAAGAATACTGTCATGGGTCTTCCTCACCTTAAGACTGAGAAACAAGCTGCTGCTGGAGAGGTGTGTGTGGTACTGGCACCTCTGTGCATACAACCCAAGAACCTCATGCAAGAACTTATATTTCCTTCCACCTTGGCCAGTTGCCCCTGGGTTCCTGAAGGACAAGGTTCCAGTGTGAGGAATATTCAGTGTGACACAAAATGAAATCATATGTGGGCACTGTGTGATGATAAATGGCATATTTACTTTCCAAACTTAGGGAGACAAATTCTTCAATAAGAGTTTTGGCCAACCCTTCATTTGAACTTCACTGTGCCTGTGTGCATTAAGTATGTGTTGCAGTGCACCTCTATGTGGAAGAAATACTGCTCTTTTAGAAGAACCTCTGTCAGTAGATTAAGTAAATTTATTTTCTACATATGAAGAAGGTAAGAAGTAGTATTTTCTCATGGCTACCTAAAATGTGGTAGATGAACAGAAGGGCATCACTGGAGTGAATGCCAGCATGTAGCAACAGTATGGCCTTCAGAAAGATACCAGGGATATTTAAAAAGTCATTCTTCCACTAAAATTTGCAAATACTCACGTTTGCCTTCAGGCTCTGCTACAGAGCTGTTTTTGTTGACAAGCTTTTGTAGTTGGCTTCTTAACAATACTCAGGGGCACGAACTCTCCTGCAGCCACAGTGAAGAAGCAGCAGTCTGAACTTCTAGGGAAAAATCATGGATCCTTTCATTAGCTCTGTAATGTGAGAGACATTTAGTCTTGCAGCTATCTTCAGCTAGAGAGCAAGGTACTTTTCTTTCTTTAAAGGCAGTGAGGGTACTTCTAAGTAGTGCCTGTGAAGGTTTTAATCACTTCCCTTTGCTTTCTCCCCTTTCTTTGAGCTGGTCATCCATCATTTGACAGAAAAGTAGCGAAGAAATTCTCACCATCACAAGTCTCAGTTTCCTTGAACAGAAGTGATCTAGTGTTTGTTTCTATCAAACATGAAGAGTGACATCTTGGACCATAATGGCAACGTGTCATTAGCTTTAATGACACCAAGATTTCCACGGGTTTCAAGGGCTTGATCCTTCTCATGTTTAGGCTATTGTGCATCCAGTTTAGCTCTGACATATGAGAAGCACACCAATAAACAAATACTTTTAATTCTGAGAGACTATACTGGGAAGTTCCATGTGTTCTGAGGATAAAATTGTATAGCAAATACATGTTCTTTATTTTTTGGGGAAAAAAAAAAAATTTGGATAACTCTTTATCAGACTAATGGAAACATAATAAACTGGAAAACAGCACTTTGTCCAATAATAAATTTGCCTGGGAATATCATAAGAAATAGTTAGATTTTTTTTTCCCGTTTGAGTGCTAAACCAGATTATCTCTTCTTTGATCTGACTTGGATTACAGAGTCTCAACTAAAAAATCTAGCATAGGGGGTATGTAAACACTCTGCTAGCATGGGCAGAAACACTGCTGTCCCTAAAGAATTATTTACTCAATTCATGCAATTACGAATGCTGGGGGAATGCTGATTTAGATGTGAGGCCCCCAGCATAAAGCACTGGGCATTAAATGCATGAGCATTACTTCAGAGCAGCTTAGCTGGAGTTTATCATGACCATTCAGCCATTGCCTAGCAACTTGTGAAGGCCATCAAAGAGCTCTTTGTCCATAGCTCTGGCAAAAATATTTCCTCACAGATATCCTTATCAGTATCAAAATCAACATGAAAACTTACCAAAAGCAGTTTTATTGCAAAAGAGATTAATGCTTTCTTGAAATTGTGGCAGTCATAAGCCAGTACACACTTGATACCATTGCTGGAAAAGCTGTCGAATCTTGCTGTGTAAATTCTAGTAAAAATCTTACTTTTTCCTCACTAATTTCTAGCTTTTTTATGAGTGCCTATCTTTCTTTGAAATTTCAAAGAAATTAAAAAAAAGATCAGAGTCTGGAAAAACTTTTTTTTTTTTTTTTAAATCCTTTTAATATTTGTAACCTATTCTTTCTCAAAAACATCCATTGTAGTTTTTTACATCTCTAAGATGTGAATTTCTCAGTTTCTCATTTTGAAGTGTTCTATGAACTTTATATAAATAAAAATAAGTTAAATTTAAAACTATTTTTATAAGTATAGACGCAATAAACTGCTAAATGCATTCATATTTCTGCTTTGCTACAATCATTCTTGACATTCAGATGCAGAACTGAAATTGATTTTGCTTATGATCAAAAATGAATATAATAAAACTCCTTTAATAGTACAACAGAAGTAATATTCAGCCCTCTTTGAGTATATTGTCACAGTTATTACTCAGTAGTATTCAGGATGCACAGTTTCTTTGCTAACTGGAGAGGTAACATTCTTCACCAGACTGCCTGCTCAAAAGATGTGAAACTGGGGAAGAAAAGGTGATTTTTTTTCAGTTTCCCTAATGATATTTTTCCCTGCTGTGTACTGAAGGAACTTTTTCCTTTTTAATGGTAGTTGTTGGCTCTTTTAAGTATCGTGGCTTTATGCAGCATGGGGCCCATTGTCTTTTCTATCCCAGTGTGCCCAGTATCACCCTTTGACACCATGCTGTCATAAAGCATCCTCTGTGCACAGATCAAGATGATATAATTGAGCCTGGTGTTATTGTATGTCACTGGTCTACATAATTTCAGATAATGCACTGTGGTAACTCGTGGCAACCGCTAACTTGTTAATAGTGACCATTGTATACTGAACACCACTGGAACCCATTAAGACTCTGTGAAAAATGTCTTTTCTCTAGCAGGGTTCACTGAGTGAAGAAGCTATGTGGGATATCACAGATAACCCTCACATGAACAAAATTCCAAGCTCAGTTCTGAAAGCCATTACATGCATCTGCTTGTGCTCTCTGAAAGCAGAGAAATCTTACTCAACGAAATAGGTAGTCTTGTTCCTTAAAAATACGCTGTGATCTCATCCTGTTCATGTACATCAGCATCTCTGAAAAATCAAATTAAAATAAAAAGTCAAATCTATTTCAAGTATTTACCCTTGAACATTGAATTAATGAAAAAGCTGACCCAAGCTCCTGAGAAGCAGTAGCTTCTGCCTCTCAAATGTAGATAAAGATAGGAGAGTGACATTGCCTATGCAGGCAAAAATGAGAAGGTAATGATATAAGAAGCCTTTCATTTTTTGACAATAAATTTATTTTAGGTCAGTATCACTGTACAGCTAGGGCTTTTAGGTGACCCATGTGCTGCCTGCTGCTGGTTAGCATCTGGATTCTAAAAGGCAAGTGTGTTGGTGCAGTGTGTTGAACCACACTTTTGATTAACCAGTCTGTTGATTGTCTTGCAGAGAAACAAAGAATTTGAGAGTCTGGAGTTTGATCTTTCCTCTAACTAGAGAGTTAGTCTTTGGATATAGGCAGCTTCAAAAGACACATGCTGTGGGAGTTAAGGAATCACCTCTGAGTCTGCTCTATCAGTAAAAAGTGTAACTTTTTCAGTGATGTTATGAGCAGTAGGTTTTGCTCTGCAAAATGAGAAGGATTTTTTTCTTGTCACATGTGAAACTGTTTTGCTTTTTCAAGACTCTGGCAGCCGGTGAACCTGTGGCATATTTTGCTGGAAATACTTACAAAGCAAGACATTCTTGTGGTTGGATTCAATCCATTTTCCCCTTAGCAAAAAGCTTCATTCAGAAGAGGTGCTACAATAATACTTAATTGTTAATGCAAAGTACTGTAGACACAATACGGTCTGAGTTCCACAGTGGTGCCCGCTGGCACTTAACATGCAGCATGCTTTTTTAAAGAGCAGATAGTGGAAAAAACAAACAGGAAAGTTATATTTAATGTTGCTGCATCGCAAAGAAGAAAACCATCCCATGGTTGAATTATTATAATTAGGGGTTTGTATTATGGTCTACGTATAGGGGTTTCAGTTGTGGCTGCAGTATAATCAATTCTATGCCAAAAATGGGTAGACAAAGCAATGACTGACCAGCATCCTTAAGACTACTGCAGCTAAGCATTTTGGAATGCTCACATGGTGCGTTTGGAAACCTTTTGTGTGCACTATATTTTTCTGTTTGGTATGAGGCTTAGCAGTAATCAGCTCACCACTAATTAGAAATCAGTCTGTGTCCTGCACCCCATTATTACGCAAAATTATGTCAGACCATAAGGATTTTTACATTCAGATGGAAAAGTTTCTGCAACACCTTTTGTCATGCATTTTACTAGTGTAAAATTTGAAAATAAGCTGTTGCTGATTTGAAGTAGCTGTTGTGGAGGAAGCAAAAGCCATTATTTTGCTGCATTTGAATTACTTTCTACTTTTGATTCTCTTTATTGATACCAGTGGTGAAAGTGAGAGGAATAAAAGACCTTTTTAATGTTTTTATGTTTATAAAGGCCTTGGAAAATTATGGAACTCTCTATACTGTTGAGAGTTTTGCATTCATCTTTGTAGATCTTAAAGTGTTGGTGGGCAGGAAGCCTGGAAGTAGCATCCCATGGAGCTCTTATGTTCCGAGCAAATAATCAGAAGTACTTTCCTGTTGCAGAATTTAGGATCAGCCCTTAGGTGCATCTTGTCAAAACTGGAATATGAAAGAAATTCCCTGTTCTGGGGGAAGGTGGGAATAGAGATGCAAGTTTACCTTGTCCTTGCTCTATTTTTGTGGTTTTTTTCTTCTGTGTTTTAAAAATTAGTCCTCTGATGACCAAAGGTTTAAACTAACCATGCATAAGAGTTCTTTACAAAGGCTGACAGTTTTGTTTATTTATGGTTGCAGGCATTCACTGTGACAGTGTGTGTGCTGAGGGACAGTGGGGTCCAAATTGTTCGTTGCCTTGTTACTGCAAAAATGGAGCATCCTGTTCTCCAGATGATGGAATCTGTGAGTGTGCACCAGGATACAGAGGCACCACTTGTCAACGAAGTAAGGACAAATTAAATTCTCTAAATGCTCTAAAATCTCTGTTTCTCCCTCCTTTAATTGGAATACATATGGTATAATACTATAGTGCTTGGTTAATTTTAGTATGAAGTACTATGAAACACCCCTTAATTGCACATTTTTTAAAAATGTGTGAATATACAGAAATTAGTGTTACCTGAAATCAACAAATGTTTCCAACTAGTAGTGCTCTTCTTGTTAATAATTTAATTCATTGTACCATCACATTGTTACACACACAGCTTTCTAAGAAAGAAATTTTGTAGGGGATTCCATTCTAAAGGTAAGCATTTCCAAATGTGATTGATGGAACATTAATTTCGTAATATATATTTTCATAGGTACATAAAACATACATGAAGCTAGAAGCTAGAAACCTTAGCTTCCCATTGAGTCTAGAAGGAATCATTGGCTTAATTACTGGGTTTTTTAACACTTACTTTGAAGCAGCAAAGAATGGCCAGTGGGATCAGGCATCAACAGTAAATGGAGGATACCACAGGTACTCATAATTGCATTTGAAAAATTCAGCTCACTAAAATTTAAGTGCTACAGGAAGAGAGATACAGATTAACTGAGGCAAATCATACCAGAAACAGGGAGGCAAAAATAAGACAAGTATCTGCCCTCCTAAGAAGATTCATCACATTTTGCCAGCAGTCTAACTGTGTTCAGTTTGAATTGTTGGAGCTGTGAGTGAAAGGTGCTCAGAGAAGAGAAATGTGAGTCCTCTGCACTTGAAGGGTAGCCCTCTTTTCAGAGCAGATCTCCCAGAAACAGGATCAAGAAACAGGTGGGGTAAAGCCAAGCAAAGATGCTACTAGGTCCTTCAGAAGAGGCTTAAAAGGCAGGAAAGCACATAGAAATTATTACTAGAAGGCAGAGAGGAGAACCAGAAGAGGATGAAGTCCTAGCAATCCAAGAATGGTAAGATTTCAAGCCGAAGAATGTGACTGCCTGTGGCACTACTAAATCCCACATTAGTGTGGCATTAGTATTCCTTAAGCATTTCTAACTAAGTGCAGTAATTATTCTCACTATCTAATCTGTAAAGGCCTTGCAGTTAAGCAGTTAATCCCAAAGCAGACTAAGTGTAACACTACATGTAAAAAATGTTCCCTGTGTTTTGGAACTGTGCCACTAACCTGGACAAGAGGCTTCCAGTCCGGTGGCTCTTAGAGCCCTTCTCTGATGCACAGTCTGGAGGCCAGGAAGACAAAGGTCATATGAATAATTTGGATCCCAGTCAGAAACTGCCTTTTCAGTAAACAGGAAGACCTTTTGGCACTGTTTCACTTGGAAAAGTTAATCTCTCTAGAGAGATCTGGCCACATAACTTGTATCAAGTGTATAATTAAAAGACTGCATCTTGAATGAAATTAAAATATTGAAAAGATTCCAGGTTAGTTTTTGTCAGTGCTAATTGCTGCTATGCAACAGGTATTTCTCTTGATGCATTACCTAATATTCTAATTTATCAGGAAATAAATGCCAAAAGGGATTAGAGCAACAAAGAAGTAGATTTTATGCAACAGCCTTTCTACTCCCCTTTCTCTCTCACTCTCTCTCCTTTTTTTTTTTTCTTTTTTTTTTTTTTTTTTTTTTGCCAAAGTGTGTTTTTAACAAAATATATAAAAAC